TAAAAAAAACAAAAAACCGTCTTATAGACTCAGACTAATGAAGATGGCTGGCTCCCCGTTGGCACGGTAACAATGCCTCAGAGTGGTTTGGTAGTCCTTACAGTGAGCCCCTGCTGCCTCATCCAATCCGAGGACCCCCCTCCTCCACACACACACACACACTCAGAACACTGTGTTCCTTCAGTCCTTCACTCTGACTGACGAGAACACAAAAGGAAAACTTCTTTCATCTGAAGCGCTGAGTGTTTTTCCCAGATTCTCGCTGGTTTCAGGAACATCAGGCGAGCTGTTAGTCTCCCCGAACTCCCATTAAAGCATTTACTAATGTGAAATAGTTTAAAGACAAAGCCTTCATGATGTCATCCTCTGGTGTTCTGACCGTTGTTTCGAACCCTGACATTTGTTGCCTCTGCAACAAAATATAAGAAATATATTTGTAATGGTCATTACTGTGATAAGAAGGAAAACACCTCTTTTTAAAAGAACTAATAACTTCATTTGATTCATCATTTAAAAAAAAGATTTTCCCCCGGTTATGGCCCCAATCTTCCCGGTGTTACGGTCTAATTTAGTGACACGCCTGCTGCACATAAGTTGTTGATTTTTCACTGGTATTTATGGTCTTTGTCTTGACTCAGTGTAGATCCCTAAATGTCTTGGTCTTGGTCTTGGAGCACTCTGGTGTCTCAGGTATGTCTTGGTCTCCACCAACTTCCACATTTACATCTTGACAGCAAATGAGAAGATTCTCCACACACAAGAAGGCTGAATATACTTTTTCTTTTTATATGATTACACACATCAAACTAACAACATATTCCACCCGCATGGCTTCATCAGGTTTGTCATACAAGACAACGCACAGGTGTATTTAAACACACTCAATCCAACCAGCAGCAGCGTGATGAGTTTCCTTATATGGTCATGTCTCTATCAAACATTACATTTGATTACATCATTTTAATTATAGGTACCAACACATCCTTAAAAGAGAACTATAGAGGCCTAAAGCAAGCGGGAGGTGAGGGGAGGTGTGGATTTAGTTGCTTTAAAAACAACAGTTTGATAAGGTCTCTAAATATACCATTAGTTGAGTTGGTGCTTTACATATGCAGATATGAAACTACACATTGTTTTGACACATCAGTATCACAGTGTCATGAGTATCAGGACCTTGAAAAGATTCTGCACGAAACTCAAAATTTGAGGAAAAAAAATCTTTGACGTGGCCCTAATACTCCGTCGTACTTTTAAACTTTTGTATTTCCTTTCTGTCTCATCTCTTATTAAGGAAAACATTTTATTAACTGCAATACCCTAATCTGGCCACTTGATAGAGCCATTAACTAGATGTCTTTCTGTCATTTCTCCTCCAAACCAAGTGGATATAAACTCCTCAAAAAAAGTAATAATACTAATTGGTGTTGTATAATTTATCGTTGGAAAGCCTGATTAGTCACCTTTTACAATGAGGCATAACCTGTCCTTCCTTTCTGCTGCTCTGCTTTCTCTCAGCAACATGTCAGCAGCAGTGACACTAGTGACAGCATGCACGATAGAGCGAAGATCTCCAAAGTGTGCATTACATCACTAGACACTTTGCCTGGAGGAAAAGGGCCTAACTAGGTAATTATTTCAACCAGATTTTTTACATTTCATATTTATTGAAAGAAAGAAAGAGTCACAAGAAAATACAAATATTTACATATCAAGATTTGACTTCACAACTTAACGATTGGATCATATAGAATAGAATAGAATAGAATAGAATATATCTTTATTGCTATAAAAACAACAAAAAAACAGTTTAGCAGCTCCTGTCATTTGCAGCACACACAGACAAACAGCACACACAGATGGACGGTAAGACTGATATACAACAACAAAACATTTCACATTTTTCACCAGCAGAGGGCAGCATGATCCCAAACTACAGAAGACATGCAGCTGTTTCGGCACAGGGGGGGGGGGGATTAAAGAAATAAAGTGCTTTATAAAAATTACATAATCTGAAATGTCATGATAACAAAAACAAGCAGCCATCAGGTACATAAACAGAGATCATTTAACATGTGAGGCTCGATGAGTGACACGCAGAAACATTAAAAATCAAGCACAAACAGATAACTGTATAAAGAAACTAACTTTGCATGAACAGTAATAGAGAATGAAACTGTACATAAAGTGATTTGACATTGTACTGGAAGATAACCAGGAAGTGTCATTGGAATAAAACTGGTGTAAATATAAAGGCACAGATGGGTTTTAATCAACATGAAAACATAACAGAAATCCAATGCCAAGTGAGCATGCTACACAGATTGTTAAATCGATGTCCTTTAGTACTTTAAATTAATTGGAAGTCACTTCCTTCAGGTTTTTCCTCATTCACTGTTCGCACTTATACCTACAAAAAGTAATGTGCTGTTTCATATGAGAACATGAGTCAAATTAAAAACCCTTCACACGGAGATGAGGAGATCTGAGGAAGTGTTTCAGATCCTCAGCAGGCAGGTAAAGTAGCGTATGGATTTTTTGGGGTGTGTATGGCTCAGTCTGTCCTCATGTCTGTGGTCTCCCAAGTTTTAAAAATCGGTTAAGATTTGAAAAATCGTCTGTCTGTGTGCAGCCAGCCCAAATGAAGGAGGTGCAGCACCATCAGACCAGCTGAGGTTTGAAGAAGCCCCCCCCCCCACCCCCACCCTCCCCCCTGGCTGTCACCCCAGGTAGATACTGTAGGTGAGAGGATGGGTGAGATATGAGGCCGCGAGCTTTTGTTGTCAACTTCAAAGAGACCTCAAGAGGAGAAAGATCAGAGCTATCGGTTTACACAGAGAGGCAGATACTGCTGGGAGGAGGATGAGGATGATGATTTACTGAGGGAGTCTCCTCACAATCATCAGTGTCACACAGGATAAAGATTTCAAGAAAATACAGTTAATTAAACAATACAGCAGACACCCTATAAATACCATCTGTGATGATTAATCTGAGCTCTGATCAAGGTGAAACCAAAGCCACAGCCAGCACAGAGCAGATATCTCTCCTCTGCTCTATTTCTGTGTCACTGTGTTTGTTAAGGCTTGTGCTGCTCTTAAGCTCCACAAGGCCCTGAAATAGAGTGACAAGCTGTCTCCATAAATACAGAGCTCCTATGGGGGAACATAATTGCTTTGTGAGCCTGTGTCGGCTTTCGGAGTGTCCTTTACTTCTGAAACCACTATTTTTATTCACCTCTATGACCTTGAATGCACCGCCATGGTCTGCTTCCTCAGATTTTAAGAGGTCACCCAAACACCCAGGTTCAGGGCCTAGAGGCTGCACACGTCGCCTGACACTTGTGACCCAAACTCAAAGAAGAAGGCCTCTGTGTTGGTATCGTATAGAGTGTTGGGAGGTCGGGGTTGTATATGCAGGACAGGTCATGGCTTGTCTTTGTTTATGGACAGTGTTTCCAGGGAGGAGGAGGGGAGTAAAGACAACAAGAGAAGAAACAGGTGGGCCGCACTCTTTTAGAATTTCTCAAGGTTGATGTTTGTTCAAGGACGCTTAAGGCTGGACATTCGTATTCATGCCTTGAATTCTTGTCTCTTTGCATCATTCAGCCCAACACTCCTTGCAGGCGGCGGGATCTGATCGCGTGATACACTCGCAGCAGATTTGATTATGTCACGGGAGTCTAAGGTGTGTGTTGGATGCAGTGCCGTTTTGAATTCCCCTCAAGTTAAAGAAAAGCAGGGAAGGGAGCGTGGCAGTGTTTGTAATGCTGTGTTCAAATGCTCCTTAATATTGTCCCGTTTACTTGAAGTTGTTCTGACTTTTGTGTGTTTATGATCTTTTACTCCATAATGTGAGAATGATCAAATTGCTCTAAGGTGGGTCTGGGTCACTCACTATGGGAAGCAACCTAACTGCATTTTAGACTTTATAAATGTGCCAAAAAATGACCTTCAGTACTTAGATTATAAAAACACTTTTAGACCATCAAACCAGGGATTCATCTGGTTTGTAATTTTTCAACATGATAAAATTAAAGCGAATTCTGTCAACTCTGCAAGTCTTGTAAATGTTCTCCAATTTCATACTCATGGGAGTTTTAAGAAATTTCTCTTGGTCGGAAACTAATGTTTGTGAATCACCCACATCCATTCGTCTAAAATACATTTTAAATCAATCAACGCAGCCCTCTTATCACACCTACTCTGATCTTTTCTCTAACCCGTCCATAGCTCTGGGCTCCCTCCCAGCTCCACCAACACATACTGATTAACTCTTCTGGAGCAGGTAGGTAAAGAAACATCCCCCAACAGGCACTGTTGGCTCTCTGAGGGAGGAAACAGTCTTGTAGTACAATAAGTTCTGACCATCAAACCAACCTTTGATTTGGTCTGCCATGTTTCAGCAAAATGCAACATCAAGTCTGTCAACTTGGAAATGCGGAAACCAAAGTTTTCTCCGACTTTTGAGTTTTTGTTCCACACTTAGGGAGCTCTACACGATTGTGCCCTGAATGAAACTCATTGTCGTGATTATTACAACACTACGGGAATCACCCACACTTGTTTGTCCAAGTCTTGTGTTCCAAATAAGCTTTCTAAATAAATAAATCCAGCCCTCTTACCACAACCCCTCTGATCGTTTCTCCCGCTTGTCCTCATTGGTCTACAGCTCTGGGCTGTTGCCCAGCTCTGCCATCGTATCCTGACCAAACCTTCTTGTGCAGGTAAGTAAGAAAACATCTCCAACTGGCACCGTCGGCAGTTTTGGGGAATGACCCAAGATCTGCAAATCCTGGATTATGGTTATATATAATATATATATTATAGGTGTCTGTTTAGACTTTAAGGAGTCTTCAGGTGAATTTCCCATTAGGAAACCCCTTTCTGTTTTTTCTGACACCACGTATTTGCACAGGAATCCTTGGGGTATATCTTCCACATCTATTTGTCCAAGTGTCCCAAACAAACGTGAAAATAAATGAATCAAGCACGCCCTCTTAGTCACACCCACTCTGATCTCTTTTCCTGCCCATCCTCATTGTTCTGCAGCTCCGGGCTGCTTCCCAGCTCAACCAGCGTGTACTGACCAACCCTCCTGGTACAGGTTTTCATGGAAACGTCCGCAATTGGCGCTGTTGAACCGAGGTCCCGTCTAGGGGGAGGTGGCGGTTTGAGTCGACCGCGCTTGCTAACGCGGATGGATCTCGGCGTCCCAATTGGCTCTGGAGGGCAAAGAGCCACCTCGCTGCCGTTCTTCTCCAGAGCCTCGTCTTGAGTCACAGAGTAGTCGTTGTTCCCGTTGGTGTTGCAGCCTGGAGGTCCTGGAGAGCATCTGAAGAGGGGTTCCTGACCTGGAGGGAGAGCTCCCCCTACACAAGAGCTCTTACTGCCTCGCCTCTTCCTAAAACTCCCCGTCTGACCTGCATCCACATCCCGCTGAGCCGGGGAGGCGTTTGGATCAGCTCCACTTGAGGCTCCTCCAGCAGCTGCGAGGAAACATCGCTCCTCCTCATACATCTTCTCCATCTTACTCTTGCTCTTCTGCTTCACAGAGCGCTTGATGGCACAGATAAAATCCAGCATGTTTAGAATAAGAGACAGAGCGGCAACGGCGAGCATGAAGTTGAGCATGACGGTCTTCTCTGTGGGCCGGGAGATGTAGCAGTCCACCTGGGTGGTGCACGGTGGATGCTGGCACAGGAACCTTCTTGGGATGTAGAAGCCAAAGATGTGGTAGTGAGCTGCCCCGAACCCCACCTCCAGCAACGTCCTGAACATCAGGTGGAGGATGTAGGCGCCTGTGAAGCTTTGGATTGACCTTCGCTCAGCCACCGACGGCCTCTTCTTCGCAGACGTCTTTTTTTTTAACAGCTCCTGGCGGATCTTCAACAACGGAAAGGCTTTGACTTGTCCCTCAGAAACTAAATCCACAGTGAGGCCGTTGGACACCTTGTGGACCACGTAGATCATGAAGACAATGTAGGGGAGACACAAGGTGACAAGCTGCACCAGCCAGAAGCGAAACAGAGAGATGGGAGAGAACAGATCGTAGCACACATTGGCACAGCCCGGCTGGATGGTGTTGCACACAAATCTCTCCTGCTCGTCCTGGTAGAGAGGATAACCAGCGAATAGGAGGATGAGGACACGGAGGAGGATCATCACAATGAACCACACTTTTCCTGGGAACAAAAACACACTGGTATCAAAACTTGACCTGATTTTGAATTTAGCAAAGAACTCAAGGTCGAAAAGAAACTGATCCGTACAAAATCCTTATTTTTTTATTTACACACAAACCAGGTCAGTTAACTCACCCATCAAAGTGATGCTGTGATTGACAGAGATAAGGATGACCTCAGAGGCATTTGATCCCACCATGCTTGCTGTGCTTAAGGCCTTCCAAAATCTTCCAGTCTCTCAGTCCAAGCCCCCAAAGATAAGCCAGCAACTAAATCTCCTCCAACCTTTCCACCCGGGGGCACATTGGCTTCCAGTTGCACAATAACCTCCAGGTTGGCGGACAGAATGTTCCCTCAGCAGTCAGACTCTCTTCTAGAAAGACTTTGTGCTTCCTTCCAGCAGGTAAAATCCAATCTGATCCCTCTGAGTCACCCCAAGTCTCTGAAAGTCTGAAGTAAACCATCAAAATGAGCTCTTCCTCTCTCTCCCCGCAGACAACTGTACGACCTCAGACAACAGAAGACGGGAGCGAGCCCCATTGTGGGTCTATTCTTAACACACTTCCACAGGCACGTTGCCGTCCTGGCATAGCAGAGATATTTTGGTGCTGCTGGACGTCCTTACAGGAGAGAAACAAGCCTCCTGGCTTACTCGCTCTAAATTGCTGTATTAAGTTCTCAAACACAATCTTGTGTTTAAACTGGCTGCTCCGTAAATACACGAGCACTTACTGCTTCATCTCCTGGTGTTGAATCAAGATAACATGTATATATGAAGGCTGGGGATTAGCTCATGGGAAATATAAGTAGGTTGTAAATAGTGTTTTCCCACAGCTGATGCCAGTTTATGACTGAGAAGGTCAGCCATTTACAATCTGTAAAATATGGAAAGTTACTCTGAAGTTTAACAGATATGATAAAGAAACAAGCTACTCAAATACTTTTTTTTTGACAAAATAAGATTGATATTAGCATCTTGCTGTAGAAAATAAATCTACATAATCCTTACATGCACTCTGTGAGTAGTTACACACACTAAGATTGTTTCTTATAGTCCACTGCACAGCTCCTTCATTGCACCTTTTGTGTTTTTTTTTTTAAAATATTTTATCTTTATATTTTTAAATTCTATTTTATATATTGTAATATCTTCTTATACTGTAGTATTTAAGTTGTTGCTAGTTCTGCTTTATTTCCTTGTTAATTGTTTACCACCAATACACCAAGTCAAATTCCTTATATGTGTAAATGTACTTGGCAATAAACCCCGATTCTGATTCTGATTCTGATCTGATAATAGTGCAGATCTCCATTATAATACGATTTTAAAAGAGGGAAAGTCAGTTCTTCTGTCCCGTGCTGCATTGACCTCATGGTCAGGGTCTCTCTATCCTGAGGGGACACATGGCTAAAGACAGTTGGCTCGGCTCATAATCACTAACAGATCAATGGTCATTAGCGCCCCCAATTCTGGCTCACAGTCCGAATCCCACATGGCTCATTTGACTGGGTTGCAAGGCTACAGCGGGGAATATGTATAGGATTGATTAAAGAGGAATAACAGAGAGGAATGAAGTCGTCAGGAAGGACAGAAAATGACGCCTGCATTTCATTTAAAGGTTGAATTTTAAGGAGTGTTGCATGCAGCCCTGTTGTCTCGCTCCCTGGTTCTCCCTCCTTCCTTCCTCTACCTGGTGCACTTTGCACTCAGGGAGGAGGAGGGGGGCTTTAGAGGAGCAGATAGATAAGAGAGGCTGCCACACACTCTCTCATGGCAGCTCAACATGAGGGGAGTTTTTTCCATCTTACATTTTTGTATTTTAGTTTGGGTTGGAGACCTCCAGTGTCTTGTGTATTCTATCTTTTGTTTTCTCTGAGGTTAGTTTATTTCTTTGATAGTTTTAGGAGGAGATTCTGAGAGCGATGGCACGTTGTGTGGTTGACTCAGCTCCTTCCAGTCATTTGTCTCATTTAGAGTTTTAAGCTCTGGGTTCAAGCCTTTCAATCTGTGTGGCGTCCCTATATGTTTTCTGGTCTCCATGTTTTTGAGCCTTGGTTTATTCATTTGGTTAAGGAGGCCATAACAAGGACATGTTGGTTCATTAAAGGGGCGATCACCAATGCAGCAGGTAAAAGGAAAAATGAAGTTTATGAAGAAATAATGGATCATGTATAAACATTAAAACTATCAGCGTAAGAAATAAGAAGCTTAAACTAAACTCAAACTCCAAATGAAACACTAAGAGAACTGCAAACTTTACATGACGTCAGAGGAGGCCTCATATCATCTGTTCAGAAATCCACTTAATTTTTTTACTGGTAGATGGAGGCTTTCCACTCTAAATACACTCTAATTGTTAGCAATGGATCCTCACTATCAAACTATCTTTGTGGCTGACCCCTTAAACTAACTTCTGTGAGTTTGGCATCCTGCACACAATCAACACAACAATGCACACCTGTCTGGAGCAGATGACCTGCAAGGACCTCACATATCCTTTTATATTCCCAGAGTGTGTAAAGTAAAGATTTGTCAGAACACATGACTTGTATTTAGATTCCAATGAAAAGACATATTCCTGAGATAAATGTTGTGAACACTGATCAACATGTTATTCTCATTGTGTAGATTTAGTCTTTTTTTATGAAGATTTGTTTTTGGACCACGTCATTCATCTCTTACTTTGTTTTATTGTTCAGTCACTGAGGTGTTGAGCAGCCAGCTCTTGACTCAGATGTCTGTATTTTTGTTTTCTGAAGTAATATTAGATGTTCTTATTTCTCCTCAGCCAACTATTAAAGTGAACATGAACCTCCTGTTGTGACATTCAGCGCTCTCTCAGATTGTTCTGTTCCCACCTCCTCACCTGCTCTCCTCTTCTCCTCTGCTTGTAAAGATGAAGTTAATAACCACAGAGAGAGACTCGTTCTTTGTGAGGAGGCAGGGACTCTTTGTCCTTCCCTTGTGTGTAATACTGATTGTAATCACAGATGTAAGCTGCAACTTGAGTTTATAATCAGGATGATATAACTCTTCTAATGAAACCAAAAGACGACTGACCTCACACTACTCCAGTGCACGACTTAGAGCCCAATCACGCCATTACACCACAAACGTTGAATTTCCACTAAAATGCCCTCATAAACTGTTACCAAAGAAAATAATCTAAATTACTAACATTGTGGTTGACCTTGAAAACTGACAACAAACCAGCAAACTGAAATCCACTTCTCCATGTTTCTCTAACTCTAACATGTGTCTCTAGTCTGTCTACAAACCCCCCAATGATGAGAAAAGTCCATCAGCTCCGTCTTTTGTCTGCTCCACTTAAAAATGTGTGCTCAAACAGGCTGTTTGGAGATTTTCCCTTCATGACATCCCAAAGGGCAGTAACCCCTCCCCCAGGTGGGTGACACTCCCACAGCTAGGTGTTTGTTCTGCCCTCTGAGTCTGCCTTCTCACTGTAAACAATAGGACATGGAGCCAGAAAGCCTGCGATATCCAAGCCCTTCCAGAGAGTGGGCGTGGTCAGACACAGCTCATTTACATATTTAAAGGTACAGACACAGAAACAGCCTGTTCTGAGCAGGGCTGAAATAGAGGGGTTTATAGACATGATCAAATACAGGATCAGAGTGGATTTAGAACAAGAAACTTCACAAACATGTTTTGAGGAGCTCTGAGACTTATTTACACTGAAGAGGAGGAGAATATTTGACCTTTAATGAAGTGATGTAGGAGTGAAGGAACTCAGAGCAGTTGGGAGTTTGTTGTCTTGTTTGGGGACACCTTGGCAGTACTCCAAGTGAACTGGACAATTTACAGATTTGGTGCATACCAGGACTTCAACCCTTCACTTCCCAACCCAAGACCCTACAGACCGAGCTACATCTGCCTAAATGTGACTTTAATTTGGGCAGTTTGATGTCCGTGACAGAACTTTTCAATTCTGCTAATTTCGTAATCCACACCTGTGTATTTATACAAGGCCTGGCTTGGGCTCAACCCACCCCACCCCACCCCACCCCACCCCCGCATCCCTGCTAATAGGGAAAAAAGGGAACAGCTGCAGCATCAGGTAGCTGATCAGGTAAACCAGTGAGGCGGGAAAACTCTGAAACAGAAACTGCTGGACAGATGGGAAATATTCAGAGTTCTGAAGTGAGAGGATAGTTAGCATGCAGGGAAATGACTCTAATTGCCAAAGCTGGCGAGAGAGAGGAAGGAAAGAAGGAGAAAAACGCTTTCTTAGCAAGTTTTTAAAAATATCGCTGATATGACCTCAAGCACAGCCATAAAGGGCGTTCACACTCCATTACAGAGATGGAAATCAGTGCAGGAAAAGACAGCTTCCCTGAGCTCTATTGAGTGTATTGATGTCTTTAAGCTGGCACCTTTTTTTTTTGGCCCTGGCATCTGCAGAAATCTGTCTTCAACACAAAAAAGTTCTCATTAACTAAATGTGCACTTCCTGTCTAGCAAAAAAACAAGAGACAGATTTAGCAAATAGCTGGTGAACATTGTGTTCTGACCGATTTTTATTTTGATTAAATCTATTTTTTAATCTATATTGTGGTATCTATCTATTTTTGTACATTTAAAATGTTTATTTTTTTTTATTTAAATTGTGTACTGTGTTCCCTTTTTGTTTGCAATCTTTGCTCTTTGCTGCTGTAACACTGTAAATTTCCCTGTTGTGGGATAAATAAAGGATTATCTTATCTTATGTTGTGAACAAGTTGTCTCCTTGTAGTGAAAGAAGTGAGAAAGATTTTTGCTCATACTAAGTAAGAAAAAGCTGTCTTACTCATCCACATCAATGCCCAGAAGCCTTTAATTTACGTCTGGTGTATTTGAATATATCTATCAATCAAGCTGTGGTCAGGAAAAGATATTCCCTCGCTGCACCCTTTAAATACGTTTTCATTCTCTACAGGACATGTAAATAAGAACCATAGTCACATGACTCCCTCATCTGTTCTAAAAGGACTGAGTGCAAAACATCTGAGGTGTTATTTAACTCAGCTGATGTGATTTCACAATGTGTACAGTATATTTCATTTGTCCATATGACCTGGTTTCCATCCAGCATTAGCTCATGTTTTGTGTTTTTCATTATTTATTTCTTGTCTTATGTTGAGTTTTTGTATTTACGCTTGTCTCTGTCTTTCAGATCCTGCTCCTCGTGTCAGCGGCGCTCTGATTCCCCTCACCTGTGTCTCGTTATCCCCTGATTGTCTGTGTATTTAATCCTAGTGTGCTCTCCCTCTTGTTGCCAGTTCGTAGTGTTTCCTTCGTGTACTTCGTTACAGCCTTTTTGTATTTATCTCTCCCATGTATGACTACATATTTGAGATACCCTGCCTTTTGCCTCACCCCCTGGACATGTTGTTGATTGTTTTTCAGACCTGTGTATCGAACTCTGAATCTGCGATTGTTTCCATATTCTGTCTGTCATTATGTCAAAGAGGTGTTGGGCAGTTGCTCTCTCTACCTCTTCATTGCATTGAATTCACTCGTAAAGCAGTAACCAGAGCAGCGATTGAAATGCAAATGAAGGCTAACATGAGGATTTAATTTGTCCCTCAGTGACGATATACAAGGCTGAGTGTAATCTCTGTATTACCATGTACTCTACATCATTAAAAATGTTCTTTCTGGGAGAGGAAACCCTGCAGAGTCACAACAATTAATACATCAAATTATGATAGCTGTGTGGGAGCACTCAAGATGAGACCATGAGGGACGGTTTGTCAGTGTATTGTATTTACTGGTTTACTTCAGCAATAATCCTTTAAGGTAAAACCTGTGATTTTAACCTGTGGCCTATTTTCTTTACATAAAACATTGAACAAAAAGTAAGGAAATTTGTGTTTGGTGGATTACTTCTTTGTTGTAAAAAAGCTTCTTGGCAATAAATCTTATACTGTTGGAAAGCCTGTTTATTTCCCTTTCAAATGATGCCACATTTGTAAGGAACATGCATTTGTGCGATAAGCAGCAGAGCTGATTATGTGGGTTGCGCCCTTGAAAAACTTGCCAAATCTTCTCTGCCAATCAGATGCAAATCAGGCACCTGATTGTCAGCACCTGGGGTAACAGAAGCTAACAGCAAGAGTCAATAGCAACAGCAGAAAACGCTGTTTGGCATTGGCAGAGAAGATTTGACAAGTTTTTCATCGGCGCAACCCACGTACTCCGCTCTGCAGGTTCCTGGTTCAAATCCCCTTCAGAGAGTAGCCTCACTTTCCAAAGACATGCTCGTTATGCTGATTGGGGAGTGTGACTGGTTGTGTCAGTCAGGGTGTACGCCACCTCTCGCCCACTGCCACTGGGGTCAGCTTCAGCCAGCTGCAACCCCAAACGGGAAAGGGGGTATAGATAATAGATGGATGGATAAATTGATATTTGCCATGAAGGATGACGTTTTGGCCGTTGCAGCCTGTTTTACTTCTGCAGGATGAATCCGACTACTTCAACAATCCCCAAAAGTTTCTGTTGTGTCATTAAAACCCAGAATGTGTTCAACCAGGGCACAAGGTAAATTACATTAATGAATACACATCTCCATACTTTAAATAAAAAAACAAACACTGGGTTTATTGCAAGGTTTCAAAGTTTAATTCTCGCACAGCTTTTTTCTAAACGTTGCTTCAGAAGAGAAGAGTTGGGAACAGTTCTATGAATCATAGTTAGAAACAAACAAGAGAGGAAAAGATCTGAGGCAGGAACAGAAAGACTGAAAAGAAAAGGACAACAACAACAGGATACAGTACAAGTCTTTAGAAAATATCGATCAATAAAACAATGAATGAGAGGTCACAGGTAGAGCAGTCCACTGATGTTAACGCCATGAATATTTATGAATGGAGAAGAGTTTGAAGTGAAGTCCAAAAAATTATCATAAAAGAGAGGGGGGAGGAAAAAAGAAAAAATCAAACTCTATGCAGAGGTAGAGTTCAGTGGCCAAGGCTATGACACACACACACACATGGGGCAACCCGCTGACAGGACGCCACAGGCCCGAGTCCACCTCAGAGCTGACTACACACACCAGACTGAGCTGTATGCACACACACACACACACACACACACACACACACACACACACACACACACACACACACACACACACACACACACACACACACTCACTCACTCACTCACTCACTCACTCACTCACTCACTCACTCACTCACTCACTCACTCACACACACACTCATACAATAAATAGGTTATACAATCTTTAAATACCTCACAACTCCAGAATCTTTCCTAAAGACACGTTTGAACTTTTATTTTTCACTCATTCAGAGCCAAACCACCGTTCTCTTTCACATCCATTTTTTTATTTTGTTCTTCATGTGCAGGAATGCTGGGTCACAACGAACTGAAGCCCTGAACTATCCCACCCGGCTCTTGATCCTTCAGGCTTAGCCTAGAGCCAGGACGACTCGTTGATCAGGACTGTCCTTCATTTCTCTGTGACTTTGGTACGGTTCTGTCCTCACACACACACACACACACACACACACACACACACACACACACACACACACACACACACACACACACACACACACACACACACACACACACACACACACACACACACAATTGCTGAAGGCTGAAATCTGACTGACTGACTGATTCTTTACAAATGACAGAACCTAAATCATAGATGTGGAACTTAACAAAGAGGCTTTAAGGGGAGTACGCTGATGTCACATTTGAATTTGAACCTTTAGTTGAATAAATAAAGATGCATTTAAAAAGTGACTTGTGATTTTTTTCCATGCTGTGAAACCTCAAAGCAAACACTTGACTGTGTCTTCAGTGTTGAAGTGGAGGAAAATGCAGCTGATCATAAGATCATTAGAAAGTTGAGATAATAAAAGCCTTACTTATGTTTAAATCGATCCTCTATGTGTGTGGACAGCAATGAATTAAACCAATGAAAACCTGACTTTATAGGTTAACCTTTTACTAAAACCTTATATGTTTTTGCATGATCATAAATGAATGGTTTTAATTATTTTCAGAAGATTTGAGAGACTATGAAGCCCTGAAACTGGCACAATTTAAGAGATACGACTCAGTACATGAAGAACGACAACTACAAGTAAAAGGAGAATGAGAACATATTCTTATCATTCTTCATGGACTAATTCTATAAAAACAAGTCCTGTGTCAAAATCTAAATACTGAGAAAATATAATTTGTGTTTTATTATATTCCAGCCTGTTCCAACACTGCCTAAATACTTGATTTGGACATAAGCCCCGCCTCTGATAAGGATAAAAGCCATTCATAGTGTAGGATTTTAGGATGGCCAATCAGATTTCAAAGGGGGCCCCTGTATGCAGCCCACAGAAGACGTGCAGGAGTGTTTCTCCTGCTCTGCACGCTGACTTTTCATGGTTAGGTTTCAAATTATTTGCTCTGCAAGGGAGAGATTTTATGAATTTAAAACCTCAATGGATCCACACTTTAAACTAAGATCACTTCTATCTGATCTTTTTTTTTTTAACTGTTGTTGGGATGGAGAGGATTTTCTGCAGAAACACAAAGTGGAAAAGTTAAGATAATTGAAAGCAAGGCTGAGCGGCAGCACGCCAAAGACAAAGAAATGTTTCTTGATGGGTATTACAGAAAGAATATTTGATGCAACAAGATGAAAAATGAAGAAGTTTAAGAATAGATTAAGAAGAGTGAAAGAGAGATAGGATTATATTCACTTTATAAGCGGGATGGGCAGTAAAAGTATAAAACTTCATTTCTTCATCACTCTTTTGATTATTTAATTAAAAATACTTAACGATGCATTAAGTTAGTTTGGACTTCTGACCTGCCTGATTTTTACCACATCGTGTCATTCAGGGGCTCCAAAGCATCAAACAAATTCATGTGGAAAATCTTCAACAGTTTTCTTAAAGGTCACATATCATGAAAAATACACTTCCCCATGTTTTTGTCTCTAGTCCGTCTACAAACCCCCACTGATGAGAAAAGCCCATCCTCTCCGTCTTTTACCTGCTCCACTTTTCAGAAAATGTGTGCTCAAACAGGCCGTTTGGAGATTTTCCCTTCATGACGTCACAAAGGGCAGTAGCCCCTCCCCCAGGTGGGTGACACTCCCACAGCTAGGTGTTTGTTCTGCCCTCTGAGTCTGCCTTCTCTGTAAACAACAGGACATGGAGCGAGACAGCCCGAGCTACCCAAGCCCTTCCAGAGAGGGGGCGTGGTCAGACACAGCTCATTTACATATTTAAAGGTACAGACACAGAAACAGCCTGTTCTGAGCAGGGCTGAAATAGAGGGGTTTATAGGCATGATAAAATACAGGATCAGAGTGGATTTAGAACAAGAAACTTCACAAACATGTTTTGAGGAGCTCTGAGACTTATTTAAACTGGATGAAGAAGAGGATAACATGTGACCTTTAAAAGATGTAACACATCAAAAATGTCATTTTCTGGAATACTTTGTCACAAGAAAACAGACAAAAATCTAAAGTGGTGTCTCCAGTTCAAATCTTAACGATCCTCCTTCGCCTTTACTCGATGTGTCATCAACATATGAAGTGCCCCCAACATGTACAGTAAAAACTGACTCCATATAAATATTCTAACATTATTCTGTTGTTTTTTTACAGTACAATGTAAGTCTACAGATTCTGCACACGCGCACTGTATTTACACTTTACAGAGACAATTTAGCAAAAGGTATACAATCGATCTTTTTGAAAGCAGGGTTTGAGTTAATGCTCTTTTATTCGTTTCAGTCCTCAGAACAACAAAATGAACCCTGAAGAATCATGCTTTAAGCTTTGAGTGGCTCCTAAATGTCAATACTTCACTTGTGCTGTTTACGTGTAAGCTGGAAGAACCGTACAAAAAAAAAAAGAAAACAGACTTTAAATTGATTTGTTCTGTTCCTCCAGTAGAAAGAGGAGAAGTGATAAAGTAGCTTATTACAGGCACCACAGGTCAGGACGATGGCAGTGAATTAAGAAGTACACCACATGAGCTCCAGAGTATGTCTCACGCCGTCTTCCAGTCCGGGTTCTCCCAAGTGTGCACGCTTTCACCGCCACATGTCAGCACAACAACAAAGCAATGCATGGATGCTGCTTCATGTGATTGGAGGCGGGGCTGGATGGTCCTAGGGCGAAAATGTGCTGAGACCAAAAGTGAAGCTAATCGTTGCCTTACTGTCTTTTACATGTAGGGGTCAAATTAATTTTTCCTTTTTAGAAACGTTTGGGAAATGAAATGCCGGCATGAATTCTGTGTCTGGATGAACTTTTCTGCCTACTTGAGGCTGACCAGTGCCCCGTTTGATGACCTGTTGGGGGGGGATCAGTACCAGGTTCTCTATGTTCTGATTCAGTTTGCAGACCCCCACCCCCGGTCCATCTGTCTCTGCTGAGTGACAGTTTTAACGATAACACGGCTCACACGTCAGCTGAAATCTGTCGTACTACAGTGGATTTTCATGTGATCTATTTGTAATTAATGGGTTAAAAATGATGCAGAAATGACCGAATCATGATGCAGATTTGGGAAAAGTACAATTTAATGCTTTGTCAGTTGTCACTGCAAAACGAAAACAAACACATTTTAAATTGCTTGTTTTTTTTTAATGGAGTTTAGATTGAGAGACTCAACAAATCTACAACAAAGTAGAGTTTAGAATCAGCCAGGGCAAATTTTGCAGTTACCTTGTATGAAATCACACCTCATTTTTGGTCAGAACACGCCTTCAGAGAAACGATTCAGTAAGTGGAATGGTTCAGTTTAAATTCCCCACTCCTGTAAAAACGGCCCAGAGCGAACCACACTGACTTTCTCAATGTAATGATATTGACTTTTATGGCTATAATGTCAATAAATACTGTGGACTGTGTCATGATATGTTGTCCAGTTTATCAACTGTAAACACACAACAGCAGCAGTGGAATGAACATGTATTTGTTTCTTTGTGTATGTTGGATGTGCAGCAGACATTTCTGCAGGGTGAAGAATGCAAAGGAGCAGAAAAAACACAAACAAGAAAGCAAATTTAGGAATTGAGCCTTTCAGAATTTCATAATGTGCCTGTAAGCTGTCAACAAAACATGTCCTGCCTCGGCTGAGAAACTGAAGCAGGAGATTAAAATAAAGGAATGTACAAGCTGACTCCCTCAATCAGCCGCAGTCGAGCCTCAGAGGGGATTATGGGACGCTGTCGTCTTCTTCACACAGTCTCTCGTATCGCCGGCTCTACTTCTGTTTGGCCTCCTTTCTTCTTCTTCTGCAGCTTTCATTCGAACAACTTTCACTCTCACTCTTCAGTTTGGTTCAGCTCAGCTCTGTTTGGTTCAGTGCAGGCACCCAGTGGGACTTCTTTTATGTACAAGAACCAGAGAGAGTGCAGTCACACTTATCAAAGTGCCAGATTGTGTGAGTGTGTGTGTGTGTGTGTGTGTGTGTGTGTGTGTGTGTGTGTGTGTGTGTGTGTGTGTGTGTGTGTGTGTGTGTGTGTGTGTGTGTGTGTGTGTGTGTGTGTGTGTGTGTGATCCACCCTCTGATCCACAGGACTGCAGCCCACCTGGTTTTAACCTGCTGACCAGGCAGGAACACAGTTCAGTTTGTATCACCGGTGTATCTCCGTGCTGCAGGCGGTCGGTGTTAGGAAATGATGGCTGGACACCACCGCACCACCGTCAGGTTGTCGGCGCTCACAGACCGCTTCTTGGCCTGTTTCCTCAAGTCCTTGTATTTATCATCACAGAGCCGTGAGAGGGCCTGAAACACCAAACAAAGCAGAAGTGAGACAGAGAAGAAGAGTGCCGGCTAGAGCAAGAAATGTATTCTAAAAAACATGAGAAACTGTCATCAGAAAGTGAGAGAATCAAGCTTTATAATCCCAGGATTATAAAGGGTCACAAACTCTTCTATTTTTAGTTTAGTGTGATTTATATTACTTGAAATATTCAGAGAGATTTGGAGGTTTCTTTTTTTAAGAATTATTTTGGGGCTGTTCGTGCTTTTATTATTTAAAGTAGGGCAGTAGAAAGCGTCAGAAATGGGGGACGATGAACGACACGGGGCAAAGGAGCCACCGGTCAGATCTGACCCCAGGCCGCCCGCTCTCGATGACTTTAACCTCTATACATAGGATTTTTGAAACGACGACCTCAGCTCAAACTCACTCTGAAGAAGGTGATCTGAGCAGACCACTATAGCCTGAGCTCTCCTCAGGACCTGCTTGTTATAAACGGTCACAAGCCAAGCCTGACACTTCCCTGAAAGTTTGAAAGACCCCCAAGTCTGTTCTTATTGGTCAAATTCAGGAGTCCAAACTGTACAGCAATAAAAAAGTTTAAAACAGATTCAAGAAAACAAAATATACAAGTCTTCTGTTGGACATATATTCTAAAAGGTCTTGATTTGTGTGATCTGTATTTTTAAAGCCCTTCTCTGAATGTGATGGTTTGTGTGGACTGTAGTGCTTCATTATATTTTTATCATTTTTGAAATGTGGACTCAGGATGAATAGATGTGCTTTAGGGTAGCTAATGGGAATCCTAACAAACAAATACATAACCATGTAACTTGTGTTCTAAATGAAATCTTTTCAACAGAGGAGGAAATGATGCTTCAACCAACATCAACATCATTACTGCTGCATAGATTTGCTCTAAATGCTAACTGCAGTTTGGCACAGGGGCGGAGAGGAGAGGAAGGAAGAGACAGATGTTGAGGCAGTGAAGCTAATTACACAGCAACACGCCCCTGCACCCTGTCCTTCACCCAGCTCATCATCTACAGGCTGTGTTTGTGTGCATCAGTGCTGAGACTGAGGCTGCAACTGAGACTGAGACTGAGACTGAGGCTGAGACTGAGGCTGAGGCTGAGACTGAGACTGAGACTGAGACTGAGACTGAGACTGAGGATGAGGCTGAGGCTGAGGCTGAGGCTGAGGCTGAGACTGAGACTGAGGATGAGACTGAGGATGAGACTGAGGATGAGGATGAGGCTGAGACTGAGACTGAGACTGAGACTGAGGATGAGACTGAGACTGAGACTGAGGCTGAGGCTGAGGCTGAGGCTGAGGCTGAGACTGAGGCTGAGACTGAGACTGAGGCTGAGACTGAGGCTGAGACTGAGGCTGAGACTGAGACTGAGACTGAGACTGAGACTGAGGATGAGGCTGAGACTGAGGCTGAGGATGAGGCTGAGGCTGAGACTGAGACTGAGACTGAGGATGAGACTGAGGATGAGACTGAAACTGAGGATGAGACTGAGGATGAGACTGAGACTGAGGATGAGACTGAGGATGAGACTGAGGATGAGGATGAGGCTGAGACTGAGGCTGAGGATGAGACTGAGGATGAGGATGAGGCTGAGACTGAGGCTGAGGATGAGACTGAGGATGAGACTGAGGATGAGACTGAGGATGAGGATGAGGCTGAGGATGAGACTGAGGATGAGACTGAGGATGAGGATGAGGCTGAGACTGAGGCTGAGGATGAGACTGAGGCTGAGACTGAGACTGAGACTGAGGATGAGACTGAGACTGAGACTGAGGCTGAGGCTGAGGCTGAGGCTGAGGCTGAGACTGAGGCTGAGACTGAGACTGAGACTGAGGCTGAGACTGAGGCTGAGACTGAGGCTGAGACTGAGACTGAGACTGAGACTGAGACTGAGACTGAGGATGAGACTGAGACTGAGACTGAGGCTGAGACTGAGGCTGAGGCTGAGACTGAGACTGAGGCTGAGGCTGAGGCTGAGGCTGAGACTGAGGCTGAGACTGAGACTGAGACTGAGGCTGAGACTGAGGCTGAGGCTGAGACTGAGGCTGAGACTGAGACTGAGACTGAGGCTGAGACTGAGGCTGAGGCTGAGGCTGAGGCTGAGGCTGAGGCTGAGGCTGAGACTGAGACTGAGGCTGAGACTGAGGCTGAGGCTGAGACTGAGGCTGAGACTGAGACTGAGACTGAGACTGAGGCTGAGGCTGAGACTGAGGCTGAGGCTGAGACTGAGACTGAGACTGAGGCTGAGACTGAGGCTGAGGCTGAGGCTGAGGATGAGGCTGAGACTGAGGATGAGGATGAGACTGAGGATGAGACTGAGGATGAGGATGAGACTGAGGATGAGACTGAGGCTGAGACTGAGACTGAGGCTGACTGAGACTGAGGCTGAGACTGAGGATGAGACTGAGGATGAGACTGAGACTGAGACTGAGACTGAGAGACTGAGGATGAGACTGAGGATGAGGCTGAGACTGAGACTGAGACTGAGACTGAGCTGAGACGGCCTCAGCTCGTTGTTTTCCATGCTGTTATCCTCAAGCTGCAAGAACTGGGTTAATATTTTGGGGTGTCTCTCTGGAGGTGTTTTCTTCTTCTTCTCACCTCTAGTTTCTGGGCCTTGTCCCTGCTGAGGGGCTCCAGGGGGAAGCTGAGGTTATTGGCCTCAGCCATCGAGCGCAGGTCAAAGTAATACTTGGCGTAGACGCTGGACGGCACGTTGATGTTGAACTGCAGCAGCTCCAGAAACTGACGCTCCAACTCGTTCCTTTAAAGAGAGAGAGAGAGATTTTAACAAGCTAAAAGAAAGCAGATAAAAAAGCCCCTGTGAGGAGGTTTTAGATGGTTATAAAAAACATAATTAACCAAGCTAACATGACCATCGAGGAGAAGATTAAATATGTATATTTAAGTTATTTCATATGCCAGTCGGCCCTGCTCGGTGGGGGGCGAGAGGAGTGTCAGAAAACGCAACATACTCATGTAGAGGAGATAGCTAAAGGGGCGACAAAATCAACAAACCCCCAAAAGTACCTCTTTAAATTAAATACAGAAATCTTCAGTCATAGTTTCAACCAAAAGCTGCTGTGAGAGAGAAGAGAGAAAATGCACAAGCACGTTGGCAATGTAAACGCTGCAGGAGTGTGCGTGCACTTTTTAATTTAAAAACAAGAAATGGTCCAAAATTGGTTATCAAGGAATTCTAATTTTGTTGCTGTGTTATCGATATTGTTTCCCTTTTTATCTAGAATTTTATTGAAGTTTTAAAACTCTGGTGTCATGACAGCCCTCTGGTGCCATAAATCCCATATGGAGAGACTGAAAGAGAGACAAAGCTGAGAGGCTCTTAAGACCATCCCCGTAAATCCATAACCTCACAGACAGCAGGGTGTTATTTCACATGTACAGCGCCAGTTCACATACACCAAGAAAATCCCCAGTACACCCACCTAACATAAGCCTTTCCTCATCCTGAAAACCAGTCATATCTACACAAAGGGCTCTGAGCATTATGTGTAAGAAAGAGTATTAATCCCACATCCTGAAAATGCTATTGTCATGCATGGCCTGATGCTGCACGGCTCAGTGAGTCCCTCTGCAGCGCTCTGACAGCCAGCTTTCATCTGTTTATCCTCACCCATGACCGATCCATTCTGCACTGTAACCTGCAGGAGAAGAACGAGCCATCTCTTCTTTTTCAGGCCTTTGTTTTCCTCCCACACACGTTTAGAGGCGTGCAGCAACAGACGAGCTAAATTTAGACTCCGCTGTAGCCAAACTCTGCCTAATAACGCTGCTTCTTTTAAATCTCAGCGTGGCACTCGTTCAGCTATTCTCTTCTATTTCTTTTCCTGCTTCTCCGCTCCTCATAGTTTCCACCCAGATTCCCCTGCAGTTGTTTCAGAGTGGAGCAGTAGGGGGGTAGGAGAAGGAGGGCGAGGTTCCCGTGCATGGATTTAAAAAGACTAAAACTGATCTTCTGTTGAAATCACTGTCCAGTAAACTGAACATATGGGAGCACAGCAGAAACACAGGCCGGGCTCTGCTCGCTGGAGAGAGTCCCAAACAGGTGGATCAGAGTCACTGCTGTGGATAACCTGAGCCAAAGGACAAGAATACACTTGTGCAGGAAGGTAGTGAATGTAGTGAGGGGTCAGAGGACGCAGCAGTGGCAACACGTCTGCAGCATCGGGTTCCCCCTCAGAATAAGCCAGCCAGGATTCCTGTGGATTGTAAACGGATGTAGTTTACAGCTCCGGATACTCAAGATGCTTCTTCCCTCACTTGCATACCACAAGGTAAATGAATTTATTGTTTGAAAGTGGTTTCATCTTAAAGGGGAGGTCTGGTATTTCTAAACACTTGCCCTATTTTTGTTTAATTTGAGATCTGAATGACTCACAGCTACCAAACGTTTTGGATTTGCTTGTGTAGATTACTTTAGCCAGAAACAAAGAAAACTTGCTGTAAAAGCTCAAATCTACCCAAACAAAGTCTGAAAAAAAGTTAAAACAAAAAAAACAGCTGCTCTCTTCAGACCACCAGACTCCATCGACAAAAAAGGTCATTTGTACCTGACAGAACACGAGTTTCTGTCGTTGAATGAATCAAAACTTAACTATTAAAAGGTGAATTCTCCCGATGAGCTCACTCCGATTATCTGCAGAAAAAATTCTCGGAGGCCGGCAGGAGAAACTCTGGGTAAAGTCGGGGTGAAAAATGTTTGCAGCTCACCCTGAAAGACTTCAGGAGTTTTTCAGGATCTTTGTAAAGGTGTGAACAAGTCTGCACTGAGTTCAACAGAGAGCATTTATCCTGTGGGCTTGGAGCAAGTCAACACTCCTCTCCTGTTGCAACATGATTTATTTTTTATTTTCGCATCTCACTCTATTTTTTCACCCTGAGGAGCAATCTGAGAAATTATATTATATATTATTATATATTATTATTATTATAAGAAAATATGCTAAATGAGACGGCGGCAGCCTAGTGGTTTGTTCACACGCCTTGAAGCAGGCAGCCCGGGTTCCAATCTGACGTGTGGCTCCTTACCCGCTTTTTATTTGATGTATTTAACCTTTATTGAACCAGGTACAGAATCTCAATGGGTCACAAGGCTTACCTGGCCAGGAGGGCAGCAGCAGCACACGTCATGATAAACATTTCATGATTAAGAAACACGCCTCTCTCTCTCTCTCTCTCTCTCTCTTTCCGACTCTATCACCTCTCCTGTTTCTCCACTAAAAGTATATTTCTTAAAAAAAGAAAGAAAATGAGGTACAGTAATCCTCCCATGTTAATTTGATAAATGATATGATGTATTTCAGTGATGTGATTGTGCACCTCCCACGCAGGGACACAGGTTTCCTTCTGAGAGAAGCTGCTGGATCTCCTCTCTCGATAATCAGATGAACGATGTGGCACAGAGAGCTCTGCTTCCAAAAGAAGGGTAGAGACATTACCTGATGCCAAAGCAAGCTCCTTTAAATCATAGTCCTAACGACACTGAATCCAAATATACAGGTGTGCAGCACATTTCTTTTTACATTTCCTGAAGTCTGTCCTTCTTTAAAACTGATATTTTTCTCAATCCTTACTTTTTTAAAACTGTGATTTTTTTTGTGATTTTCAAATGCTGACATCTGAATGTTTGGAAAATAGATATATTCAACACATCAGCGCGCACACAGAGGCCAGGTGAGCTACAAACAGACCTGTAAAAACACAGGTCTTTTTTTTAAACATTGTGGTTGACCTTGAAAATGGTCAATCATAGGACACCTGAGCCATTCCAGAGAGGGGGCGTGGTCAGACCCAGCTCATTTACATTTAAAGGTACAGACACAGAAACAGCCTGTTCTGAGCAGGGCTGAAATAGAGGGGTTTATAGACATGATCAAATACAGGATCAGAGTGGACTTAGAACAAGACACTTGAGACATATTTAAACTGGTTGAAGAGGAGGAGAATATGTGTAATGAAATCAAACTTTCATTGCAGATAATGATGAAACATGTTTGCTTTTATGTAAATAACAACATCTGCTTATATTCTGCAAGACAGACCTCAGCCTAGAAGCTCTTCTGTTGAGTGTTCAGAGCTTTTCTTTCATTTCTAAATCTTTGCACAAAAAACCCTCACCTCAGTTTGTATTTTTTTTAACAGGATTAATTAAAGATTCTACTGACCCAATTCTTTAAAAACTTGTTGGAAGGATGAAGCATGAGCCAAAAATACCACTAAATGTGTGAAACGGTTAAAAACAACTACAAATGTCTTGTTGCAGTTTTTTCTCTGCAGAGACGCTGATGCTTCATCACGGTAAATACACGTTTTACCTTCTTTCTTATAGTGTTGTAAATACATCCAGATAAATATTGTGGTCGACTTCGCAGACTGTTGACCTTGACTGCGGTGAGTGTCCTTGACTTCCTGCTAAATTGGGGGTGCATTTAGCGACTCACATGTCCTCCACTGTGATGTCCTTGAGAATTTGGCAGTAGTCGACGTTCCAGACCGCCTGGTCGTCCCACACCTTGGATGCCAGCAGGATGGCTCCTAACACGATGCGTTTCCAGTTCGCAGGACAAATGTCGATCTCAGCGTAGGTCAGGAGCCTCTCCAAGTACACCTGGGACACAAGGTCAGTAACACATAAATATTGGTCTTTTTAGTCTTTAAACGTTTTAATGTCCACATTTATATACAGACATAACAATACAGATAAACAAAGAGAATAAAAAAGAACCTTTGGAGGCTCCTTCAATTGAAAATAATCCTCCTATGTCAAGTTAAATTTCTACTATTGTCTAAAGAGTCACAAGATGAAAGCATTCTGCTCCTCTGCAACTAGGGGCGCATTCACACTAGGTAACCCATACTATGCCCAAGCAGACACTCACAAGTCCAGTTGGTTTGACTAGTGTGAAGTGCTCTGATCTGTGCTCCGTGCTTGGAAGAGATGTGCTTTGGCACAGTTCATGCACAAGCATAAGCACGGGTACACAACGTAGACAGCCTTCTATTATCGAGTCATGTGTTGTATTGTGACGTTATGTACAAGAGGTAACCATGCTCAGGCCTGGTTAGTCATGGAGCAGTGTGAGTGCAGGCCAGCGGGGGAATGGGGAGGGGAGGGGGGAATAATTGTGCTTAGGCATGGTATGGGACAACTCTGCTAGTGTGAATGCTCCTTAAGTCAGCCCATTTCTCCCTCCTCTTAGCAAAGTGTTACAGAGAAAGTTATCTTTTCAATGACAAAGATTCCTCTAACTTCTTCCTCCCACTTGCTGCGGTGCCGAGGCTCCGGTTTAAACCATTTCTTTGTAGTGGTAATATTATTGGGATGTCTGTGATCCTGTCTCTTCCAAAGCAACACATCAGAATCATGTAATTATGCATTATCCATTCCCTATGTAAATCACAGCTCCTTTAGCTCCTCTATGTTTAATTAGCCTCTGCTCCCCCTGTTTAAAGCTTCATCCTTCACAGTTGCTCTGCAGCCTTCCTGCTCTGCAGTCTCCTGCCTCCTCCTCCAGGTGCAAACCACAATAACAAGATGTCAGAAGCTGATGAAATCTAGCTTCCCCCGAGCTCGCTCATTAAAATATACACTCCATCTATCTCCTCCTGCCCGTCTCCCCGTTTACGTCCCTCTCTCTCTCTCTCCATCAGTTGACAGTACTCCCACAGTCTCACAGAGAGCCTGCAGGCACCTGCTCCTTACAAGATGAAGAGCTTTTACAGAAGCTCATTCTTCTGATCCACTGATCATCATTTTGTTAGAAAGAGAAAAGTAATATGTTAGGTTTTATGGATGCTGTTGAACATGAAAGCTGCAGAGGTCCGCTGCATGCAGACATCTTCATGTCCCTGTTTCCTGCTCATGCATACCTCATTAACCTCTCATGAAAAACTCCAGAGAAATTCAATGCATGCCCTGTCCCGTGTTAACCAGCCTCACAGAAACATGTTATGTCTTCACTTCTTTCTTCTTAAAATACTGATTGTAACATTACTGTTTGTAATTCTACAATAATAGGATATTAGTGTGGCTGTTCTGCACTGGTGGAGAGTAAAAAGATGTTGTTTTAGTCACTGAGAATAATATTGATCTAAGTTATACTTCAGTCTATTATCCTACCAATGGCACATAACAGCAGACTTCCTCACAATGAAAATGAAAAATCATTTGTAACCAAAATGGTCGAATAAAGGCAATAAATCTACAACTTGTTACAGCATTTCTTTCCTCCGGGCTGAATCTCCAGTTTCTTGTTTTCCATAAATACAATCCGCTGCAGGCTCAACTGAATGCAGACCGGCTCCAGCAGCTTACAGCTTTGAAATCCGTCCTCTCAGATGACAAGTCTGACAAAGAAATCTAGTTTGCAGGGATGCTGTATTTTTCATGGCAGAGGGAGGAAGTTTTTATTCTAATTCTGTGTGAATCTCCTCAGTGGTAGAACTGTCAGTTTATGTGCCTAAAAAGAATCCTGGAAGAGATCTGCAAAGTCGACAATAACCTGATTTTACCACCTAATTACTGGGCATTAAATAGTGTCATATAAATGAGACAAAAACCGGGAAACGTCCACCTAAATGCTGTGAATGAAATAAAGAAATATCCTTTGGTCCAGCGGGCTTTGACTTGCCCTCAGGCACTGATAGGTTGGCTAATTGGACGATTCACACTGTGATGGTCTTTGTGCCTGCAGGCGCTGCTAACCCATCACCGCTGTGGCCCAAAGTCTGCCAACACACACCACGTACACACGCTCATCTGGCTGCAGACAGCACACGGCACTGCACAAAGACTGCGTAAATGAGAGGCCCACCACATGCTGAGCGATATGAATGCACCAGCACAGATAGAGAAAAACACAAACAGGAACAACCGAGGATACAGAGGAAACAGAAGATACAGAGGAGACAGAGGAAACAGAGGAAACAGAGGATACAGGATACAGAGGAAACATAAGATACAGAGGAGACAGAGGAAACAGAGGATACAGAGGAAACATAAGATACAGAGGAGACAGAGGAAACAGAGGATACAGAGGAAACAGAAGATACAGAGGAGACAGAGGAAACAGAGGAAACAGAATATACAGAGGATACAGAGGAGACAGGAGACAGAGAAAACAGAATATACAGAGGAGACAGAGGAAAACAGAGGATACAGAGGAGACAGGAGACAGAGGAAACAGAATATACAGAGGAGACAGAGGAAACAGGATACAGAGGAGACAGAGGAAACAGAGGAAACAGAGGATACAGAGGAAACAGAAGATACAGAGGAGACAGAGGAAACAGAAGACACAGGGGAGACAGAGGATACAGAGGAAACAGAGGATACAGAGGAGACAGGATACAGAGGAAACAGAAGATACAGAGGAGACAGAGGAAAACAGAGGAGACAGAGGAGACAGGATACAGAGAAAACAGAATATACAGAGGAGACAGAGGAAAACAGAGGAGACAGAGGAGACAGGATACAGAGGAGACAGAGGAAACAGAATATACAGAGGAGACAGAGGATACAGAGGATACAGAGGAGACAGAAGACACAGAGGAGACAGAGGAAACAGGGGATGCAGAGGAAACAGGATACGGAGGAAACAGGATACGGAGGAAACAGGATACAGAGGAAACAGGGGATACAGAGGAAACAGGATACGGAGGAAACAGGGGATACAGAGGAAACAGGATACAGAGGAAACAGGGGATACAGAGGAAACAGGATACGGAGGAAACAGGGGATACAGAGGAAACAGGATACGGAGGAAACAGGGGATACAGAGGAAACAGGATACAGAGGAAACAGGGGATACAGAGGAAACAGGAAACAGAGGATATAGTGTAAACATAGTAACCTCAATCCAGCACATTTAAATGAAAGTATGTCTGTGCATGTATGAAGACACAGAAACACTGAGCATCAGCGTGCTGGTTTTAAAAGACTGTCTGGACTCTGCAGCCCACCCACTCAGCCGGTCATGCCGTTAACACGTGTGTGCATCTGTCAGGAAGCACTGCAACTCAATACACCAGGCTAACAGACCAGACATATTAACCCCAGACTACACGAGTCAGACAGAGCCACAGAGTTTGGACAGGCGAGTAACTAGGCAGATGCATGGAGAGGGAGAGATAGAGAGAGAGAGAGGTCATTTCTGACTGAACGTAGCAGATAAATTCAAAGCTTGATCCAAAGGTAACTGAACTGGCTGAAGATCTTGAAGATGTTTCACCTCTCCTCTGAAAGGTTTCTTCAGGTCTAAACTTTCTGCTGGACGGAGCTAGAAGTGTAACCCTCTGTGGATCATTAGCATGCTAATGATCAATGATGTCTCACACCAGAGTCGTTACCAACCTACGATGCTGTTTAGAATTCTCTACCAAACAAATGAAGCCCCATTCCCACCGTGTACCATGAGACTTCAACGACCCACAGATAACTGGGGGTGGTTACGACTCCAGGCGAAACTAGGTTAACGACTCAGCTAACGACTCTGATGTGAGACATCCTTGATCATTAGCATGCTAATGATCCACAGAAGGTTACACTTCCAACTCCGTCCAGCAGCCTCAGCTTCAGCTTGTTGGTGAGCAGAGAGAGAAACTCCTAAACAGCAGAGAAACCAGTCTGATCTTTTCTCCAGACACACACGTCCTCCAAACCAAAGTGACTCTGTGAGAAAAATTGCACAGATGTTGTCTCAGCACTCACCGGATAGACAATTCTCTCGACCATCCCTGAGAGAACATTTCATATTTTTCAGAGACAAAATCTCCAGAGAGAAACATTTCATTTAAGAGGAAAAGAGAAAACTGGGTTCAAAAATAAAACAAGAGACAGAAGAAAGCAGAGAATACTAAAGAGGGAAAAACACACCCAGGATGCAACACTCCCTCCTGGTGTCTGCACTGAAACACACACACATGGACACACACACACTTACCAATGTGACGATGGCACACTCAGCGGTGAGCTGTGCGGCGCTGAACAGCGTCCTCACAAAGCGGTAAATCTGCTTCTGCTCGGGGTCGTGTTTTTCATAATCTTGAGGAACTTCTGACTTCTAAAACACAAATGAAAGAGCAGAGAATTAGTTTAGTTCCTTATATGTGATGCATTTAAAGCACGAGGCAAGTTGTTATGTACATTACTGCATCGATTCTCTGCAGTTTTTAAGACACAGAAACGGATACAAAAGACTCCAGAAGGATCCAGATGGCTGCTGTGATTACAGGCTACAGATTCTTATTTTCTGTTCATCAGCTTGTGTGTGTCGTCCTGCTTGAATGAGTCGAGACAGACAACCTTTCAGATGCACATCATGAAAATCAACCTTTAGTTAAGGCCTTACCGTAAGCGGATGCAGCTTTTCATCGAAAATGTCTAACACCATTCTCCCGTCGACTTCCCTGGAATGACAATCAGAGAAGAAGAACATCAAGAGTGTGACAGAAACGAGACATGATTCTACATTTCTAAGTCCTTGAAAGCTTGGTCCCCTAAAGATGTTGCTTGTGTAAAATTAAAGAGACCAAAGAGGAAGCACAGAGTGGATGTATAGCCTGTGTGAAATGTGACTGTAAATATTCAAAAATCTCAAACCTACAACTAACACTGACTTGCTACAAATTAAAGTACTATTCATTCAATTCAGAGAGGCTGACTATCTGTGCAAAGCTTGCTCTCCAGGTCAGGGCCACTTGTGAATTGTTTTCATTCCAAAGGGAAAATGTGAAGAATGAGCTTTTTTATGAATGCATCAAGTTCTCTTAAATCGCTGCTCAGCATCACTTTAAAATGGCTCTGTTCTTAGGAGTGTTTTTTTTGTATTCGGGTGTCTGGACACACTCACAGAGCACATTTCTCTGCAGGACGACGCTCAGCTCACTCAAGCTGTAGATGCAGTCAGCCATCAAACAGAGCGTCACAGGGACTTCAGTGCCTGACATTTCAACTGAAGCCTTAGGGACTAAAAGCGACTCTTTCTCATGCAATGTTTAGCTCTGCCTCAAATGTTTCAACACTGATTTCTGATGCAAGGCCATGAAACTCAAGTGCATGTATTAGGGCTGCAAATGTAATCGTTAATGCAGTTCATGAATGTTGCAATAAACACATCACAAGTAAACAAACTATTTAAACTAGCTTTCTCACTCAGTATGTGAACATTTTACCTGTCAGACAAAGCTCTGGGTATACTGGCCATTATTATTTTTACACCATGTTTAGGCAGTTAGATGAAGCTAATGCTAACTATCAGCTACCATCATATTAATTGGTGCCAATCAAGTGGTGAAAAAGTCGCTTTTTGTCTGGATTTTAGATTCAGGAGGGACACGATGCAAACACTAGGTACTGTGCTAAACACCCAGAACAGCAGATGGACATAGAAACTGTGAGCTACAGTACAGCTGATAATTATTCTACTTCATAGTGTTATTGCACAATGCATAATATCATCTTATCATGCACGCCTAGTAGATACAGAAGATTTAGATTCATCATACCTGTTCTTTATGTGGTAGTATATTGCAAGAGATACACTGCAAATAAAAAACAAGACATAAAACAAGATTAAAGACAAAAGAGAAAAATGACCCAAAAAAGGGTTTAAATATCAGGTCATGTGTGGTTTCAGTGTGAGCAGACAGAGTGAGGCCGTTACCATTTGATGGTGTATTTGAGGTTGGGCTGACTGACGGTGCTGTCATCGAGGAATATGGTGGAGCATGAGCTGTACTTCCGTCTCACTGGGCCTGGATGATGCTAAAGTTCACACACACATATGTCAATCTCTGTATCTGTCACACTTGCACTCGGCCGGCTGACAGCACGGGAAAGTAGGGCACCTGTAAGCCCACAAACTAAATCTGTCTGTCCTCTGTCAGACGTTGGTGCATGCAGCGATGGCATTTATGGCGGAGTGCATCTTTGGAGAAGTCTGAAACTCGACTTAAGGGATCATTTTTGGTTTTGGCTCAATGTTGTTCCGGGAACTTTTGGTTAAATATTTCAAAATATATATCTTTTTCCATAAAAATCTCTAAAAATGATCCGTTTGATCATTTCCTGCACTCGGGGCTGAGGGATGAACTCCACCATAAAGCAAAGACAAATGTCACTACTACATATTTACCACATTAAAAGCCTGATTTATCATTTCCAGGATGTTACACAAACACAAACACCTACACTACTTATGGAGTAGGAGGTTTGAGAATGAAGGGACAATGAGGAATTGAATTATTATCATTTCAGAACTTTACCTTGCTCTCCGATATATGTGTAAACTTGCAAAAAAAACATACAAGAAGAATACAAATCAAAATTTACAAAAACAGTTCATCGTTGAGTTCAGCCTCTGTGTGATATTTATGACTTCCCTTCTGATGCATCGTAAACAAATATCTTACTCACATGATTGATGTAAAGGCTCTTCCTTTTTTCTCGAACTGTAAAGAGAGACAAGAGGACAGGTGTCACAGATCTCCACATGCAGTACACAACCCTCAGAGACAGGGGGCAGCATTTATCCAGGGTTTATAAATGCCCCTTCATTAGAGATTTGGAGGAACATATTGGATAAGGTTTTTGTTTCAGTTTAAATTATGTCACACTGCGTTAAACAAAAGGTGGGGGCTTTCTTTTTTTAAATTTAAAGGAGAACAAAAACCTGTCAATGGATCTCCTGATGCATAAGAAAGTGTGTTTTCTAATAAGTTTGAGGACACAATTAGCCCGTTCATCTTTTTCTGCTCACATACAGTACGTCCAAATAAAAACAAAGCATAGTGACAGATTTCTTCACGAGGAGGTGATTGGATAAAGCGTCTGTTCATAAATCAGGTCGTTTGCGATCCTAATTCTACTCGATGGACGTGAGGCTGTGCAGGTTTCATCGAGTTCACTTTACACACAGCTGTGTGTCAGAGCCGTGTGTGTGTTTGTGGGTCTTATTTGTGTTTGTGTTCAGCCCAGTTTGGAGAAATCACAGGGGAGAAGGTCGATGGCAGGGCAAACTGGAGCAGATGCAGAGCGCAACATCACACACTCACACACACTGACATGGTGATGCTGTCTGGCGCCTTTCATCCCAACACAGTCTCTCACACCTCACTGCTGACACACACACCATCACACACACACACTCTTGCACTCGTGTGCATGTGTTTTGTGTTTTTCCTCCAGGCAGTGGTGACTGTGTGCACTGCTTTCTAGCAAAAGCTGCAGGATGTTAATGAAGGGTTTCGCATAATTGGAGTTTAAAAGCAAAGATTGCAATCTGAGCTGCTGTGATTTATGCCGTTTTTTTCTGTACACCAACACCAACTAATTAAAACCGTTTCCAAGCAACATGCTGTAATGCCGGTGTCAAATCACTATTTGATACTTCCTGTCTAACCGCGGTTTTTCCTCTCTCAGTAATAAATATTTCTTATGCACTGCTGACGAGGAAACAGAGCTTCATGTGTGTCTTCAGGTGATTAAAAATAGCTCTTTTTATACAGCTGCATCCTGTATATGGACATGCACATAGTCACACACACACACACACACACACACACACACACACACACACACACACACACACACACACACACACACACACACACACACACACACACACACACACACACACACACACACACACACACACACACACACACACACACACACACACACACACACACACACACACACACACACACACACACCTCAGCTTTAAGGCACATCACCTGCTGACAGAAAACAATAAAGATCGAGTACATGGATACGAAAAAGCTTGAGACCACATTTAAAGTCGAGTGTGAACAAACACAGTAGACAAAGCCGTCATCGACACCACACGTGGACATGCTTACCTCTCTTGTTGGGAACAGCAACTGAAAAACACAAAGTCCAAGTTGTCTCTGATTGTTTGTAACATAGGTGCACATCTGGCTACAATTAAAGGCAGGGATTCTGTTATGACTGTTACACCCGGGCCTTATTTTGACATCTGGGGTCTTCCTGAGTAATATGTGCATAAGCATTGAATTGCTCCTTTAGATTGATTAAGATCTAACCATAAACAATAGGACATGGAGCGAGAAAGACCAAGCCACCCAAGCCCTTCCAGAGAGGGGGGCGTGGTCAGACACAGCTCATTTACATATTTAAAGGTACAGACACAGAAACAGCCTGTTCTGACCAGGGCTGAAATAGAGGGGTTTATAGACATGATCAAATACAGGATCAGAGTGGATTTAGAACAAGAAACTTCACACACGTGTTGAGGAGCTCTGACACTTATTTACACTGGAAGAAGAGGAGGAGAATATGTCACCTTCAAAGGTTTTTTTAAGATTCTAAAATATGTAAAAATTGGACCAAGGGTTCAAAATAACAGGATTACCATTATAAAAACCTTTGAAGGATAAAATAACCTTCCCTGTGGTCTCTGTTCTGCTCTGTGTACAGTATGTTGAAAAAACAGGCCAGCAGATATTCACACAAGAGTTTGATCGGGTGAATTAAAGAGCATCAGCAGCAGATATCAGATCAATACCTCCGCCTCCAGGCTATACAAACTCGCCGGCTGAGCCGGCTTTTCTCCAGAGTGAGCAAAGGGAACGTTATTAAGCCTCTTATCATCAAAGTGAAGAGATTATGTCAAAACTAAAAGAATACTAATCTCAGACAAGAACTTAAACACATTTCAGTTGATTAAAATGAATTACTGTCACTGTGTGATGGGTCGAAACTGCGGCAGGATCATTCCGGCAGGATCATTCCGACAGAAACGATCGAAACACCCGGCTGGGTCTCAAACCTCGGAAAGTCAGCCGGTGTAAAAATGTTTCCACATGAGCCTTTACGTTAGAGAAATCTGTTCTTTAAAACAGTTCCACGTCTGAAATCCCTGCATCACAGAAACAGCCTGCACACTCTCCCACAGAGCAGCTGCTGTGTGTGTGTGTCTGAAACATAAAAGGCACTTTTAAGATGATTCTGCAGCCGATACGTTACTGCTTAATGTGCAATATGTCACATATGGCGACGCTGCTGCTCTTTGAATGACGTCTCTCAGTCAGCAGATAAGTCGTTCCACAGAGTAAAACAGAAACACTGCTTTCAGCCGTTATGCTCCGAGGCACTGGAATAGTCTACCGGCAGATCTGAGAGGAGCTGGAAATACTGATCTGTTTTAACTTAAACATACAATATGTTGAATTAAATGAATTAAAAATAGACGAAACCTACTTTATATATTTTATTGTTGAGTACTTACATCACCTCAAATATTTCCAACAGTAAAAGCCAGAGAAATTTTTCATTTTATAGCTGTTACACCCCAACATGTTTATTGTTGCCATGGAAACACCAGATGTTATGCTGCATAAGGAAGCGTGAGCTGCTGCTGAAAGCTGCTGTACTGTTGCTGTGTGTGCTGCTGTGATAAAAACGTCATGTGAATTATACCCGGATACATTAGCTCGTCTGTGAACATATTCTCCTCTTCAGGTCGGTTTCGCCCCGGTCTCAACTTGGGAGTATTCTATGTTAAATTATTTTTAGCCTGATCTTATTCTATTAAAGGCAGTAGCTCAGTCTGTAGGGACTTGGGGTGAGAACCAGAGGGCCGCTGGTTCAAGTCCTGGTGCGGACCAAAGTATGGCAGTTGGTTTGGTGCCTGGAGAAATGCCAGGTCACTTCCTGAGTATTGCAGAGGAAGGTCTGAGCAAGACACTGAACCCCCAACAGATCTGCCGCGGTCCCTGTGTCGCCGCCCCCCTCACTCTGGCATCTGTCCTCTAAAACATGTCCACAGGTCCTGTTTGTGCATGTGTGTGTATTCGGGGCCTATGTTTGTGAAAAGCAAGTCTCTCAATAACAGAGTGTGAACCAGAATTTCCCCTCTGGGATTAATAAAGTTTACACAACAATTAAAAGTATTTTATATAAGAGTATTTTACAGCTTACCACTTCAAACATTTTGTTCAGCTTCTGTGTTTATTGATTTTGCACCAAAACACAAAGACAGATTCTCTGTTTGTGATAAACCTACTCGTCAGTTAACCTGACGCACGACAGTGGAGGAAACCAGAAACTCTAAGCAAACAGGAAACACTTAAGAAGCCTTTATTTATCATAATGGCTCCATCATTAAATAAGCCAACTTGTTTCCACATCAGATGTCTTCATCAGGACATGGCAGAGTCGGCAGTCACATGAATTAAAGAAAGAGAAGACTCATGTGGTGTCGAACACTTTGGAAAAAGAAGTGTGATACTGATTGGTATGTAGGGGTTGACATGAAGGCAAAGGGTTAAAGTGGAGATGCATGTCACAGAGTCACGCTTACCGTCAGTCTGTGACTTGCTGAGGAAGATGGTGCTGGCCCGGGGATGATCTGAGGGATTGTACTCCATCGGCAGATCTGTAATAAAGGAAACAAAAGTCAGTAAAACAGGTCGCACATTGGAGACTTGATTGAAGCTCACTCAATTTTCCCTGCAACTGCAAACAGAGCTGGCCAATCGAAGGAAAGTGGGCAGGTGGGGAGGGTCTTAAAGAGACAGCGGCTGAAATGAGGGATTTTACTGACGCCATTATCAGATAAATAAAGAGGTTTTTGAGCTACACATCTCTCAACGCTACTCATTAGGTGTCCCAGACTGACATCATTAATGGTGAAAGTGGTGAAAGTGAGTGTATTGGATTTCCTTTAAGGCTAATTGACAATAATTATTACACTGTGCACTGAAACCTTCTTCTTTGAGGTGAAATGTGAGGTATTGGGTTCAGGTGTGAACCACCTCTGTTGTAATGGACTGAACTAAGTGGAAAAACAATCAGCCAGCCGACAGTTTGCTGCAGCAGCGCTGTGTAAACGGCCGTTTGTGAATCGATGTGCTGGACAAACACAGCAGAAAGGTATAGATTTGTTTGAGATCATTGTGTGCACACAGACTCCACGAGGATCAGCAGCAGATGAGACAGAAGCTGCTGATACAAACTGCAATAAAAAAAGATCTTTGAGGGTTCGATGAGTTGATGATCTCTGACAGCAGGTTTGTACAACATCCGTCTTTTGAGACTGATGCTGACAAAGTGCTCTATTACACACAAACAGTCTGCAAGCTTCTTTTTAGAAATGTTAAAGGTCACATATTATGCAAAATACTCTTCCCCATGTTTCTCTAACACTAATATGTGTCTCTAGTCTGTCTACAAACCCCCCAATGATGAGAAAAGTCCATCCTCTCCGTCTTTTGCCTGCTCCACTTTTCAGAAAATGTGTGCTCAAACAGGCCGTTTGGAGATTTTCCCTTCATGACATCACAAAGGGCAGTAGCCCCTCCCCCAGGTGGGTGACACTCCCACAGCTAGGTGTTTGTTCTGCCCTCTGAGTCTGCCTTCTCACCGTAAACAATAGGACATGGAGCGAGAAAGCACCGAGCCACCCGAGTCCTTCCAGAGAGGGGGCGTGGTCAGACACAGCTCATTTACATATTTAAAGGTACAGACACAGAAACAGCCTGTTCTGAGCAGGGCTGAAATAGAGGGGTTTATAGGCATGATCAAATATAAGAATTGGAGCAAGCGGCAACCTCCGGTCTTGCAAAAAATGAAGCCAATGCAGAAGTGCAAAACCCTGCTGACATCAATCCATGTAGTCGTCTGTAAATTTAGAATTTGTAAAGTGTCTTTGGAGCGACCACAGCTAGGCAGGAGTCGACTAGTCTTGGTTTACTTCGGGGACATTTAACACGAGAAATTATGACCAATCGGAGAACATTTTCCTTGAGAAACACACATGTTGGCCTGCTTGTAAATGTCCTCTTGTGAACACAGACCAAACATTATGTAGTTACAACAAGTCCATGATTCAGACCAGAGCAAACGATCTATAGGTGAGAAAACGCTTTAAATTTGTGTTCTAGATATTAGCCCTGATTAAATCCAAGAAGTTTACAAAGAGTGGTCGTGTCGTTAAGTCATGCTCTGCAGCTGAGCTTGTGTTTGTGTCTTTGGCTGATGACTCAGAAAAGCATGTTTGCACAGTGGAGCAGTATTATACCTTCAGCCATGTGTAGATCTTATTACAGCCAGATGAATTTATGTAATATCCTGAACAACCTCAGGTGAACCATGTGTTGACTAAAAGCCGTGGTCAATATTTTAGAGTCCAGGTTAATCATCAGTTTAAACTATCACACTATACCTCCTCTGACGATCTCTAAAGAGGCGGGACAACTACAGTCAAGTAACAATGAGCAGCTTCCTGGTTTCTTGGATGATGTCAGAGAAGCAGGAAGGGTCAGAAGGGACCAACACCCAGACGGACTAATAGAGAGACGGAGACAAAAATATGCCAGGAGACGGAGACAGAAGAAGAAGAGTGACAGGCTGATAATGGCAGAGAAAAGGACAAGAGGGCGGAAAATGAAGAGATGAGAGTGACAGATTTGTAAAATGATTGACCGGGAGGGAGCAGACGGCAGGGCCAGCGAGAAGAGAACAATAAGAGGGAAAAAATGATCGGAGAAAATAAAATACAGACCGGAGGGAAAGACACCAAAACAGAAACAAGAGAGAGGGAAATAAGAGATGTGAGTAAAAGCTAGCAATTAAAAACAGGAGTAAAGACAATACAAGACGGGTGAACAGAAGAGGAGAAAAGTCATGGCATGGATTTTAAAAGAACCTCGTCTCGAAGCGAGGAAGAAATCACACAAGAAACTAGCAGATAGATCTGACACAGAGACAATATTTAAGATTTAGTGTTTTAACAAGCTACTGCTAGTTCTGGACATTAAGACTTTATGATGAGGAAATAAAGGCCTGTGTGCACAGACCGAGCTTTTTGTGCTGGTAACGCCCACTTTCAATACAAAAATTACATTTTTCAGCGCTCAGAGTCTTAAGCGCAAAAACGCCCTCAGCGTAGGTTTGTTTGTTTGTGGTGTAAAATAGCTGGTAGCGCCGCACTACACTCACTACAATGCAGGCCTACAGTCTCTAGATGTAGTACAGAAGGTAGAGCCTTCAGTTATCAGGCTCCTCCCCTCTGGAATCATCCCCCAGTCGGGGTCTGGGAGGCAGACACACTCTGTACTTTTAAGAATAAAGTTAGGGCTAGCACAGGTATAGACCAGCTTCTAGTTATGCTGCTATAGGCTTAGACTACCAGGAGAACTGGCACCTTGAGCTCCTCTCTCTGTGCATTCACATCATATTACTATCTATAGATCTTCATGTACTATGTAAGTTACCATACTAACCACATACCCTCCCCACTGTCTGTACCTTTTCTTCTTCCTGCATCTTCCTCTATCCCACTTTTTCAAGCCCAGTGTAGTTTGGGAAGCTGGCTGTTCATCATGAGCCACTGTAACTTTGCTAAATGTCGCTAAATGCTCATGATGGATTAATGCTGAGTCTTTGTAATATAACAAAGAGTAAGATCTTTTACCTACTCTTTGTAAAGTGTCTTCAGATCACATTTGAATTGGTGCTATACAAAAAAAAAGTTTGATGTTATAAAACGTCCTAAAAGTTATCCTGATAAATTTAAAAATTAGGCTAAAATGTTCCATAAAAAACAATATTGAATGGTTACTGCTGCTCCTTTCTTACTATTATAAAAAGGTGAGACATGAGAGCCTCAGCCTTTGTGTACAAACCCTTTTGAACTTCAGTCTTTTTGTGTTGTGCCCGAGAGTGAGAGCTACTTGAAGAGCCTCAAAGGACACAAACACACACACACACGCACACACAGTGAGCCATGATGAAGGAGGAAGGGACACTCGTTGAATAAAAGATGTGTGTGTGTGTGTGTGTGTGTGTGTGTGTGTGTGTGTGTGTGTGTGTGTGTGTGTGTGTGTGTGTGTGTGTGTGTGTGTGTGTGTGTGGGAAGAAGCAGAGAGCAATGAAGGAGAACTGAAGGTGAAATAATGATGCTGCGCAGCATGCTCAGCTGTTAGTGAGGTGTACAGTTCACACATAAATCACACACTCACAGAAACATCTGCAACACTTCAGACTGAAGAAAACTACAGTTTAAAGGTGAACAGCATGCTCTGTGGAATCAGAAACAGAACCTCCCTCTGAAACAGCCATGATGTGCTTTATTATGTTTAACTATATCTTAAAAATACAGCTATAGTAGCTTTAGGCTTCATTATTCCCACAAAAGAAAGCCACTGCTTCTGATTTTCACATCCCCACATTTTACATTGATTGATGACATCACTACATATTATCATGTGCACTGTAGAGTGTGGTGACGACCGAGTCAGCAGGGGTTCTTCTGCAGGAGGTTGTTTTTTTTTTGCATAATCCTGATCCTGAATGAAGTGATGAAAGGAAGAGCATGAATTGCAAAACTCTGTGGACCTTTTGGTTGTACTTATTTTTAGTGACATGAAGCATTTTAAGTGATTCCAAGAGAGAACTTCACAACAAACAAAAATACAAATGCAGGCCCTGTTCTTTTATTTCTTTACGTCTTATCTTTTCAGCCGTCCCAATGTGATAAAAGCAAATAATGTCTAAAAAAACTAAAACATTCAGGCCATCGACATGGTTTCTATGTCAGAGGTCAGAGGGTTATTTCCTGGTGATGTCATGTTTCTAACACAGGAAGCTGAATGTCCTTATTCTCAGGGAGTGTCCCCTGGATGGTTGGTTTCATTGACCTTTTGGCTCGGCCCCATCCCAACCCCCCCCCCCCCCAGCTTTCTCCCTCTCTACAACCTGGTAGAGACGAAAAGCACCAAACTTCCTGCATTTCAGGAAGCGGAGAGGAAACTGCAGTAAGGAGAAGGTGGTCACACATTGTTAGGGAGGCATGGTGAAACAATGTGTGCAGGGAGAAGGTCAGTGTGCGGATTCAAGGTCCAGCATTTCACTTCTTCAAAACCACTGTAACACATGCACTCACACCTACAGAGGACAAAACCAAAAGATGCAGCAATAACAGCTCTTCCGTCCTTTGTTGTTCTTTGAGAAATGACTCCACATCGGCCCCCAATGAAAGCTAGAACCCCATTTATGTGTCCTATTTCAAGAAAAAAGAAATCCATTTTACAGACATTGTCTTGTCAGCGATGGTTGTGTAGGATTGCAGAATCATATTATAGTGCTGTGGGGTAGCTAGGCAGATATGGAAGAACGGAGTGGAGGACGATTGCTGACAACTGAGATCAGATTTATTTCCTTGCTGAAGCAACATCACCCGAGGTTGAGGTATCACCAGTAAATCCACAAAACTCTCTAGCCTTTATTAGATAGGAAAGCTGAAGAGAGACAGGAAATGTTTGGGAGGAGAGAATGGGGGATGATGTGCAGCAAAGGGGCCAAACTCAGATTTGAACCCACAGCCGCTGCGCTGAAGACTTTTGCCTTCATACATGAGGCATGCGTCATAACTGC